ATAAAAAAACGAAAGGAAGGTAAAACAGTTCCTGTCTGGGGGTGAGTACCAGTGAGAGGGGGAAGGTTAAATGAAGAGGGTGAAGGAGGGCGAATGTGGATGGTGTACTTTGTATACATGTATGAAAACAGAACAGTGAAATCTGTTGAAATTGTTCTAAGAAAGGGGAAAGGGAGATCAGGGAGATTGATGCATGGGCGTGAATTTAATTAAGATATATTGTAAGCACACATGTAAATGTCACAATGGACCCTCCGGTGCAAATAATATATGCCAATAAAAATGTAAAATAATAATAATAATATTTGAAAAAATTCATGTGTTGAAATTTAATCCCCAATGTGTTGGTTTTAAGGGTGGGGCCTCTGGGAGGTATTGAATCATGACAGCAGAACCCTTGTGAATGGGCTTAGCTTCCTTATAAAGTAAGACTGAAGGAGCTGTTTGGTTCTGTCCACCGTGTGAGGCCAGCAGGATGTTGCTGTCTTTGAAGAAGGGAGCAAGCCCTGTCTAGACAGTGAATTGGTTACTGCCTTGATTTTGAACTTCCCACCCTTCAGAGTTGTGAGAAATAAATTTCTATTCTTTATAAATTACCTGGTCTAAAGTGTTTAGTTACAGCAGCTTGATTTAACTGAGATATTTAGAAGCAGGGTTTTTCAGACACAATCAAAATAAGGATGGAGATGAGATCATAGTGGGTTAGAATGCCTCGGAATTCAGTATGGGTGTCCTTATTAGGAGAAGAAAGCACATGGGCACAGGGACAGGGAAGAAGGCCACATGAAGATGGAGCAGAGATTGGAGTCATGCTGTCACAAGCCCAGGAAAGCCAGGAGCCCCCAGAAGCTAGAAGAGACAAGAAATCATCTTCCCCTGGTGCCTTTGGAGGGCACATGCATGACTTGGCTGACACCTTGACTTCAAGCCTGGCTGTGTGAATAAATTTTTGATGTTCTTAGCTGCCAAGTTTGTGGCTACTTTGTTGCGATAGCCCAAGGAGACTGGCACACTGAATAGTAAGTGCCATTTACTTGTCACTCAGGGTGAATCAGGCATTGTGGTCAGCCCTACATGAGAATGAGTTCATCTCACCCTCACAGCTCTACAGGTGGTACTGGTCTTGCCACCTGCAACTTACAGAAGAGGAGGCTGAGAATCAGCAGGGCAAGGTGGTGGTGGTGGTGGTGGGGCAGTAACTTCTTATAGGCCATGTAACCAGTCAGTGGTGGGACCAGGATGTGTATCTAGGAGTTTAAACTCCAAAGTCTTGATCAGAATTGTGAGCTCTTCTCCTCCCATCGGAACAGGAATCTCCTGCACACTGTCATGGATTCTGAGGTAGACTGGTCTTTGCTTTGGGGACTTCTACAGAGAGAATTTTTTCTTAAAGTCTCATTCCTAGTATTCAGCTCAAGAGTTTCTGGGATAACATATGGGACCAGGGTCTCATGAACTTGTAGGGCTAAATGGGACTGTAGGGGAGGTGGTCTTGAGTGTGTGAGTCAGCAGGTCTATAGTTAGGGTAGGAACAGGGAGCAAGGGGTGCATATGGGGATTTGAAGGACTTCCTCATTTGCTTGTAGGTGGTGTTGCTGAAGAAGGATTCTCAGATCTGACTGCTGTAACAAGAATCTGGAGATTTCAAACTAGTCCTGTCCTCCAGCCCACTGTGTGTCTATGGAGAAAGTTTTCCATTTCTGTTTCCCCAGCTTCTTCATCTGTAAAACAAGATTAATTTCTGTTCAGCTTACATCATTGAGCTATTGTGAGCGTCAAGTGGAATTCTACTCTTGGGAAACTATTCTACTGAAAGAATTAAAAGGACAACAAATAAAAATGTGTGAAGATATTCACAGCAGCCTTATTTAAAATGGCAAAACCAAACAAAAACAAGTAGCCCCACAAAAGAACAAATCAACCAACCAGCCAAAGAAATGAACAAACAAACAAAAATCAAATAAAAGCCATCAAATAAACCTGGGAGCTATTATGTGTCATCAACTGGATGGAAAATTGTGTAGCCATTAAATAAGCATAATTCTGAAAAATGTGTGGCTCCATGGAAAAGTGCTTAAGTATTGTTACATGGAAAGAGAAAAATATAAAATCATATCTGCTCTAAAGCATATAAAATTATCTACAGACGCAAGGACATCTTGAAAGGAAACACAGAAACATAAAGAGCCAAAGGGTTAAGATGAGGAAATTTTGAATCAGTAAAAATTCTTTAGTGATACTGAAATGTTTTGAAAAGAACTGCAAATTAGAGAAAATTCAAATAGGGTGCATGTGAAAGTGAATATGTAATCTACATGGCTAAAGATGTCTGTTTCAAGTTCCTGTTGATAGGGGAGCTGTGATTTATTGGCAACTCTGAGAAGTTTGGAGAAAAAAGAAACAAAAAAAGAATGTTGGTTAGGTGGAATGTGAGCTCTTTGGGTGCATGTATTGTGTTTGCCACTCATCAAGATGGCCCACACTGCCTGGTCCATAGGATGGTCTCAGTGGGGATCACACCACAGGGAGGGCTTTGGTGGGGGTCACACTTACACCCAGCGGTGACACAAAGGCAGCAGGCAGCAGGGATTATTTCCATGTTACAGAGGTGGGAGCTGATGCCCAGAAAAGAGTGACCTGATCAAGGTTTCTGGCAATGAACATCAAGGGTGGCCTTATCAACCTCCTGCCCCACAGGCCAGCACTTAACAAACCCCACAGTGAAGCTCAGAAGCCACCACAGATGGGAAGTAGCTGACCTTTCTCTGTTAGCTTGGTCCCAATCTCTAGAACAAAAATTCCAGACCCCAGATCCTATGAATATGTTAGACCACATGGTGTAGGGGAATTGAAGTTACCAATGGAATCGAGGTTGCTGATCGGCTAATGTGAGCTAGTGTTATTATTCTGGGTTATCCCAGTGGTCCCAGTGCAATCACAAGAATTTGTACAAGATAGGGAGGCAGGTGGGAGAGAAAGACAGTGATGCCAACATGAAGATGGGGGAAGGGAACAAGTCAAGGAAAGCCATAGCTGGAAGCCAATGAAAGGAAACAGATTCTCCTCTAGATTCTCTAGAAGGAACCAGCCCTGCCTGCACCTTCATTAAGGCCGGTGAGACTCATTTTGGACTTCTGACTTCCAGAGCTGTAAGATCATACATTTGTGTTGTGTTTAAGTGATTAAGGCTGTGGTCATGTCACAGCAGCAAAAGGAAACCAATACAGGGTTCCACTTCTGAAGAGAGAATCTTATAACCTCCCTCAGCAAGGGGACACATGTGGGCACAGTCCACCTCAGTTTGTCATTAGTCATCATGCTTACTAATCCAATAAGTAATTTATCCATCAGTTGTGACTAACTCATTTCCAAGTGAAGAATCTCTTGTTTAAGTCTCAGGTAAATTCTCTAGTGAAACAATGAGGAGAAATATCCTAAGTGGAGGGAAGTCTAGACTCTGATGTGAGGATTGCTATCTCCATTTCATGGATGAGGAAACTGAGGCTCAAGAGGGAAGAAGGATATTTGCTAAGGTCCCATGGTAAACAGCAGAACCAGGGCTAGAATCCTAGTGTGCCTGGTCCATCTCTTCTCTGTCCATCTCTTCTCTGTACTATGCTATGCACTCATGCTTGACCTGCCTTCTTCCTGAATGTGTGCAGAGGAACTTCAGATTCCTTTTGCTGCCCATTATGGTACCTGTTAAGGTACCATACACACCTGGCATTACCAGCCATTATCCTGTACCTCCCCTATGGAGACTTTGCCTCTTTAATCAGATTATACACACTGAGAGGGGAACCCCTCTCCTGAGTTCTTCTAGTGCTGGAGCCTGCTTTAGCTCAGGGTCAAAGGATGAAATCTTCCAAGAAGACCTCCTTTGATTATTTTGAATCTACAGAAACGTTCCCTTATCCCAATAATCCCAAACCCATTTTTGCAGCTGGTCATTACTAGATATTAACAAAAGTGTTAATATCTTAGATATTAACACTAAAAAGTGTTAATAAAATGTAATAGCTTAGAAATTCTTTGATTTGAAGTTTTAAAAACTCAACATCAAAGGTGGGAAATGTGGGGCTGTCTTTGATGTGTGTGAGGGAAGTCAGGGAGATTGTTGGCAAAAGGGTGAGACACACACACACACACACACACACACACACACACACTCCTTTCACCTTTCCTTGCCAAACACACACCTTTCTGCTTCCTCACCCTCATTAATGGCAGGTTTCAATTCCCGGTAGCCTCCCTATTGCTGTCCTGGGAGGGCAGAGAGTGTTTCTGCAGGCCTTTTGCTCTATTATGCTCACCAAACCCCCCACATTGGATTCCCATTTCTCTTTATTGCAAATAGTGGTACAAAAGGGCCTGGATTGTTGAAGCAGAAATGTGATGCAGAAGAAAATACATGGTCCCAAAGCCAGAAGACTAGGACTCCCCCAAGGACACACCTAACACATGGATCTTAATGCTCCTTTCCCTGTTTTTACAAGTCACACCTATAGGTTTTGAGCACTTATTTAATTGACAAAATGATGGGTATCCTGTCATTGTTTGTGTAACCAACTGCATGTGAGTCTGAGAGGGGCGAGGGCGTCAGAAGGGCAAGCATTGAGGATATTTTAATATTCAGTATTTCCAGACTCAGCAGGCAGCAGGCTAAATCTGTCCGCTGATGGGCAGGCATGAATTATGAAACCACTCACGTAGGTTGAGAGGTTGCCCTGAGCTGGGGAAGTGTTGCCACCAGTGTCTGCTCAAGGTGGCTGGGGGAGGGTCACTTGCTGCTCTGGGAGAAGTAAGGATGTGAACAAGAGAGTGGTCATAGCAGGGATGTGGTCCTCAGACAATGGGACCAGAGGAAGCTTCTCAAATCCTTGGGCCCTCGCCTCTCTGAGGTGACAGTGGGAACTGAAAAAGGAAAATACACACAGGACAGGCCCAGCTTTCTTTGAGGCTGCCCCCTAGTGGCTAGAGTTCACAAAGGGGCTGAAGATGGAGGAGTTTCGGGAACTAAATAATGAACTCCTTCCTGCCAGGGATTCTGAGTTCCCCTCTCCCCACAGCTGCTGAGGATGGTGGTGCCCAGTGTGAGACTGAAGGCTGGAAGCCAAGGTGTGATCCTCAAGCTAGAAAACACTAAAGGCTGGAGGTAGGATAAGGGCTGGGGGAGGACTGTGCATTAGGGCCAGGGAGGAGAATGAAGGAGCCAAACCTTTGTAATAATATTTAACAGCAACAGCTACACATCAATAATAACCATTTGTTTGTGTTCTGTCTGAATCTGATGTGGTGCTAAGCACATCACCTGTGTTTCCTCAATGCCTTACAACAACCCTGCTCATTTGATATCATTATTCTCAGATTTACAGATGAGAGACAAAGAATTCAAAGTAATGTATCATCATTATACTGTTTGTGGTAGTTTATAGCTATGTATTATTTAATGTCACAGGTACTTATAAGCTTTTTCTCATATAATTTTCATGCTTATTTTAAGAGGCAGGTTGTATTATTTCTATTTTCATTATCTTTGTTGTGCCATTGAGGAAACTGAGGCCTAGAGAAGATGCATTATCAGTCACTTCTTACAACGTAGCAAACTTACCCCCACATGTAGTGACTTGAAACAACAATCACTTATTTAGTGTTTAATGCAGTGAGTTGGCGATGTGGTTTGGCTAAGCTGGGTGGTTCTTCTGGTTTTAGCTGGTCCAATGGGGCCACTGTGTTTCAGTGGTCAGATGCTGGTCAGCTAGGTGTTCTATTTCAAGGGGTTGTAGTAGACTGGGTGATTGGGAGATTGGTCCATGTGTCTCTCATTATCAAATAGGCCAACTGAGTCTCGTGGCTGAAAGAGAGAGAGAGAGAGAGAGAGAGAGAGAGAGAGAGAGAGAGAAACAGAAAAGAGAGAGAGAGAGAGAGAGACTGTCAAGTCTCTTGAGGTTTATGGTCCAAATGGCTACAATGTCTCTTCTACTGAACTCTATTGGTCAAACAAGGCCATATGACTATCCCACATTCAAGGGGTAAGGAATATAGACTCCACCTCCTGATGGGTTGAGCTACAAAATCACATAGCAAAGAGTGTGGTTATAGGCATGTGTGAAGAACTGGGGCCATTTTTACAATCTATCAGTGAGAGGATATGGGGAATAGGAGCAAGAGAGGGCCTCTCAGGCAGAAAGAACAAAATAAACAAAGGTTCCCCCTAAGACTTCTAGGTGTGGAAGAGCATGTGGAGGCTGGAGTGCCTGGAATATGAGAGGAGGCAGTGGGAGAAACTGGAATGGAGTATTGTTCTGAATACTTTTTTGTGCATTAATCTACTTAATTCTCAAAACCCCATGAAGTAAGTACTATGATCATTTCCTCTTTACAGATAGGGAAGCCAAGCTTGGAGAGGTTGAACGATACCCTAAGTCCCCCACTAGGAAGCAGCAGTGCCAGATTCTAACTCCAGAGTCCAGTACCAAAGCCCGTTCCCTGGTGTACCTGTCATCCTGCTGACACTGCAGCAGGTACAAGAAAGAGCATGGGAAAGAAGGTTCTTGGTGTAAAATGCGAAGGCCAGATGTCAAAATTTCCTTTCTTAGAGGCCTTTGGACAATAGTGATTCCTTGACACTTCCTATTTGCCCAAGATTAGTACTTCTTATTTCTGCTTAAAAGTGGGAAGGGATTAGGTCACCTTTTATAATTCCTTCTGACTCTGGGACCCTACAAATCAGTACCCCATGGTGTCAAGCATATTCACTAAGATACTTTGGTTTTAAGCAACAGAAACCGATTCAGCCTAGCCCAAGTTCATTAGGAAAGTATTGGGGAAGTTCACAAAACCAGAAGGTATTAAGAAGGGCAAAAACTAGACCAGCTCCTGGGACTTCAGTGGCAGTGATTTGTGGACTTGCTTTTTACCATGCTGTTGGCTACTTGAGGCAAACCTAAAGATTTCCCAACATAATGTCTCTTTGTTCAAATTCTAATCTCCTGTAAGAGAGAATCTGCTACAACTTGGGTCACATGTACTTATGTTGGACCAAATGAGTCCAGCCAGGGGAACATGGACAGGAGCACAGCCAAGGCCACTGTGGGAATCACCATAAAGCTATTCCCACCACATGGTGGTAAGATAAGTTCTAAGCACCACTACTTATTCCTTCCTGGACAGTTCCAAAGATGCACCTCCTTCCACAGCTGAGCTGTGAACTTCATCTCCCAGAGATCCTCTAGTTCCAGAGACTCTGACTAAACTCATATCCAGCAGTGTGGTTGCCAATACAAATTCTCAAGAAGAACATTTGGATATGGTTTTATTAATCACATTTATTTATTACTTGCATTATTTGAGTCCAGCAAATACTTTTCATTAAATTATAATAGTACAATGGAAATGATCCTTTTAAGCCCAAACAAATTTGCCATGCAAGGACTATCCTTACAAGATAGTGTTCAATCCTGACTTTCAAAATGATCAGGTAATAAAATACTTATTAACAGTTCAAAAGCATCTTGTTATTGAATCCAATCTATCTGTAGGATAGATCTCAGGGAGGCAGCTTTATTTGTTGATTTCACAGCATGATGTTCTCTGGGTGGTTCAGAGGTGTGGACTTGTGTTTGCAGAGGGATGAAGCTGGGTTTTGTGGACTAACAGTTTCTCTTCTGAACTTCATGTGTGATTTAACCTCAAGACTGAAAAGACTACTGTACAGATTAAATGGTTTTCAAATATAAATTTGGCTACTTAAATTTCCAGAAGGGAGCTTTTATATATGACCACAGTTGACTTCCATGTACATGTCTTAGGACATTTAACATTTTGATTTTTGATATAAACATAATTTTCATGGAAATGTCACCTATTATTAGGAGTATATTTAGATTGGGAATTTAAGACTCAGATACTTACTCATCCTGACATTGCCATAAAAAAATTCATGATATGATTTTGGACAAACACCCCAACATTTCTATACTTTTACTTCAATACACTAAACTGTGATGGTAAAATCAGTTAGGAATGTGTTTAGCTACAAACAGTGGAACTAGATAAAGTTTTGTTTTTCTAACCTGACAAGTCAGGAGGTAGGAAATCTGGAGTTGGCATAAGTACTCAAAGGATGCCATTTAGGATCCAGGATACTTTATTCCTGTGATCAGCCTTGTCCTTACGGTGGCAAGATGGCTGCTACACCTCAGACAGGAAGAAGAGGGATGGGGCAAAGGGCATGGGTCAAATGAACATGCTGACTGGGTCAGCTCCTCCTATTTTTAGGAAAACAATACATTTCCTGGAGCTCTTCTCCCCAGCAGTCTTTCCTCACGTATCCTTTGAACTGAAATATAGCCACCTAAATGCAAAGGAATCTGGGAATGCAATCTTTCTGTCTGGGCATATTGCAGCCCTGAATGAAATCTTGGGTTTGTGAGTAAAGAACAAAGTATTCTTTGTATTCTGAAAGGATAACAGAAGCTACTATTCATTGCACTTCTAGCAGGTGGCAAGCATTGCAAGCCTTTTCATTAGTCATCTCTTAGTTTAATTCTCACAACATAAATATAAGGTAAGTATGAATTCTATTTTATATAGGAGGAGAAACTGAGGCTCAGAGAGATTAGGTAAATTGTTCAAGGTCACAGAGTGGGATGAAATAAAAAATAGTTCCTATCTCGTTGGGGTCAGGAGGTCTCAAGTTACTCAATATTTTTTTGTGGACATTGGCTTCTAGCTAAGGAACATAAAAGTTTTCTATCATTTCTTTTCACGTTACATCCCTGAGGAAGGGTGAATTAAGGGAGGAAGTCTCAGGGGCTCTGAGACTCCCTCTGACTTCCCGTTGTGATGTTAGGGAGCTTTAAGATTCTTTTTGACACCTATGTCCCCTGATGAGCCCCTCAATATTTCCTCATTCCCTCCCCATAAGGATCCCCCACACTGCAGATAGATCTCTTCCTACTGTCATCCCATTGTAAGCTTCATGTTTGCCCCTGCAACAATCTCAGGGAAGTGGAGCAGAGTTCAACTGTTCCCCTCTCTCAGGAGCAAAAATCATTGATTAGCTGGCCTCTGCAAAGGGGACATGTACAATAGCCAAGGAAATGGTGTTGCGAGGCAGGTGGCTGCCTTTGATCGATCATGCCACTTACTGGTGATGTGACTTGCTTGTTACCCAGTTACCCCTCATTTCAGTTCTCTAGGTGTCACATGGGAGATTAATTGTATCTGTGTCACGTACTTGTGAGGATTAACACAGGTAAGGCATTTGTATCTACGTGTCTACCACGTAGCTGACGTCTACCAGTGTTTCAATCAGCCTTGCTGAACATTCTTTTTCATACCCTTTTGTGATCAACTTGCTTTTACATATTCATTCTTTTGAAGTTTCTTGGGTTGTTCTTAACATTACTACTTATTGGAGTGACTCCTATAGTTATCAATGAATGCCTTGGGTTTTGCTGTGCATGCATAACTAGAAAATGACAACTAATATTGGTTGAGCTCTTACTTTTCTGCCTTTGTAAAAATGTGTAAGTTGAGACCCCTGGAGTTGTGCAATGTGGTGACCCTTGTATTTGTCCACTTGGGAGGGATGAGTTGGTAAATACTAAAGAGCACTTTTTCTTCACAGTTGGGGCTCAGCCTTCAGGTTTCAAATCCACCATTTTTCTTGGCACCAATTCTGTTGTATCATGCCCGAGGACCCAGTTTCCCTGTGCTGCTTCTCTGTATTTGCTTGACCTGCAGCTCCTTGACCTGCAGTAAGACATGACTCGAGAACATGAGGTTTAAGTCCCCTTGTACCATGATATAGAACCAGTCACTCCCCTATTATGGGTTTTGGCTTCTCCTTATAAGAGATGATCTCTGGGGTCCTTTGCAGCTCTACAGCTTTCCAGTATTCTTGGAAAGATGATCTTGGACCTTAGATGGACATCATGCTTGGGAGATTTTGGTCCTGAAGTTTTTACTTTGAGGATTGCTTTAATTTATTGGCCATCTTGTTGCAAAAAAAAATACAATCAAGAAAGCAAAGGCTGAGATTCCTTTTCTCCTCCAAATGTGATGCTTAAATAAAATTCAGTTTCATGGAGCAAACACAAGAGTAGAAATGGATAGGGTTTCTCCTGTCTTTGAGCAGTCCCCAAGGAGGCTGTAAACAGCAGGGTTCCCTTTCAACCAGATGGACTGCTGCCTTAGAGAGCTAAACACTCATAGAATAGAGAAATCAGCTGCAGAAATGGGAAAGGCTGGTTGCTGTGATGTCGGCTTATTCTCATACCTGAGTATAGTCAGGCTTCTAGAAGATGGAGAAGATTGACCACACTGAGAGGCTCTCAAACATGAGCTGACTGGTGTGATGTTCCAAGTTAAAGTCACAGTTCAGGGTCTGGTGGGAATATGGCCCCTGAGCTAACTTTGGATGTGAGACATTCTTGAGAGTTGGGATGGCTGCAGAGAATGCTGGGACAGGGTTAGATGGTATGTGATCTCCCTTTGGTAGCTTGCCCCATTTTTCTAGGTGCTATGAACAGCCTGGGATATCCAGGGCCCTCTACCACAATGCCTTCCTTATCTGGGACAAACTTGGCTTCTCCAGTAATACCCCATTTTCAGATTTTTCTCATTTAATTTATCTCACCATTAGTCCTACTGAGAGGTAGTATGATGAGGTAGAAAGAATTGTGGTCTTTGGACTCAGACTTGGCTCAATAGCTTACGACAGTGAGAACTAGGACAAGTTACTCGACTACCCTGAGGTTTTCTCACCTTTGAGATGGGTACAGTCATAACTAACACTAGCATTGCTCAGAGAATTTGATGAGGTACAAATGTTATTTAAAAAAACACCAACAACAAACCACATATTCACAAAAGTGTTATTTCTTTCTTCTTGTTCTATCTGTCCCTTTTTATACTCCCTGCTTGTTCAAAACTGGAGAATTAAAAAATGTGTACCAATGTCTCATATCTCCTGTTAGGAATCAGCACTCTTTAAAAGCCCCTGGGATGAGTCCCTGTGCAGTGTGGTAAGACGCACCACCCTCAGGCACCGCTGAATAAGAGTTTGCTACTCCTATACTTCCTATTCTTGCTCAAAGCTGTTGCTATTCCCAGGTTCCGGACCTTTCTCCAAAGTCAATCTGTCTTTTGTATTTTAATTGTACACTGTAACCCTCTCCTGTGCCTGGGTATTTGTTTTCATTGGCACCTTGACAGGAGAAGAGCCCTCTTCTGGGGCTGAGGAGAGGTAGAAGATGCATAAAGATTTGCAGAGAGCATTGGCTGAGAATGACACATTCCCTGGGCAGCTGGGAAATCAGAGGGGCTGAGAAGAGCCAGTATGAGTTCATTGGCCAGGTTTCTGTCTTCCTTCAGCAATGCTGAGACAGGAAAACCAGGCATCCAGGCTGAGAAGCACTTAGTGCAATTAAAAGTCAGGAGTTTGGGAGATTCCAAGGTGCTATGGATGATTAGGGTGTGCTGGATTGTGAGGCTTGGTGTGACCTGGGAAGGGAGGCAGGTGTTCAAGGCTGAGAAGGGCTTTCTTCTCCCACTTAATTACATCTCACAAGAGACCCTCAAACTGTGTACTCTCAGTCCATTGCAGAGGGCATCTGTGGACAATTCCCTCATAGCCCAACACTTCCAGGCCCTCTCTGCCTGAGGATGTTCTTTGGCCATGGAAGATTAGCCTCACATGGAACAGGCTGGAAGTATCAGGAAGTTAATGGCTTTGTTTCCATCTTCAACGTGGAGGAAGATCTTCCTTGATGCTTGGTGGGATGGTTCTGAGAATGTCATGTTCTGCACAATTCTCAGATGGTCTCCTATGTGACTGAGCTCCCAACATCCATAGTGACAACACAGTCATCATGTGTCCTTGTTGGCTCTCCTCCCTTCTTCATTCCTTCCCTGTGCTTCCTGAGATCACACTGAAAATAAGCAAATTGGACCCAAATCCTTGTCACTAGGTCCACTTCTGCAGGGGAAACATATGAATGTCATCAACCTTTTCTTACTCACAGGAGTTTTCCATTTCTATTCACACATCTGCTTTGTGAGATTGATTGGCCAGTATTCTCTGGAGGCACACTAATGGAACTTGCTGCTTTGGGCCTTCTTTGTTGGATATGCATGTCTCCTTCAGGAGTCGTCATGGATAGAGAGAAGGAAACCATGGTTGGAGGCGGTGCTTTTCAAGCTTCAGGTCATAACCCAACAGGGAGTTTAAAAATCCACATTTTAAAAAGGATAAGAAAGGAATATTACATATCAGTATGTCACACATTGAAAGGGCACTGTCACATGAAAATTTTACTTCAGGCATGTTTATGTATGTTCACCATGGATCATGGTAAAAAACTTTGGAAGTCACTGCTATTGTGGGCCATTGTGTTTTGTGCCATCCCAAGATTTATCCCTTTCCCTCTGGTAACAGCACTTCAATATTCTTTTCAACAAGGAAAGGAACCTATGTTCCTCATTGGGTATAGTCTTGGTTGGACTGTTAGTCTCCATGTTCTGTTAGTTTAATTTGGTCAAAATATGGTCACATTATACCTGATATGTCAGTAAGGTGATTGCCCTAGGGAACCTGAATTTTGAGAGGTCAAATGCAAGGACTGAAGATAGTTGCAGATGCTTCATTCAAAGGGAGAATCTGGAAGATTGTATCTCCCCCACTCCTGGATTCTTGGACATCTTGATATTTTCCCCTTTCAAGATCTGTTGTCCAGCTTTTGATTGGTTCCAAGAAATACCTGTGGACCTCCTTCCCTCCCTCCTTCCCTCTCTCCCTCTCTTCCCCCATAGGTACGTAGGTAGTCAAACTGTTTTCTCTTGCTAGAAACCAAGAATCTCAGTTAACTGATCCTGATTCTGCTACTTCCTGGCTATGCAATGTGGAAAACACCGAACTTCTAAGCTTCAGGTAACTCTTGGAAAATGGAAATAGTAATGCCAGAGTGACAATTATAGATGATGTGCAAATGGCCACTGGCCCTAGGGCTTTATTGGCCTAGACAGCCACTACTTTGGGCCAAATCTTATTCATCTTTGTTTTACTATGGTTGACTGGCCAACTTATTAATATCTGTGAAGTGAATGAATGAATCTACATTGTATTGTCTTCATTATGAAAACCCATAGCTGAATTTCTTAAGATAGTTGCAATCCTTTGCTTATTAAACATGTAATTTATGGTTCAAAAACTTAATATAAGAAATCCTCCATGATGTGGGGTTGAGTAAGAGAGGTCTTATATATAATAATGAAAGCATATATTCATAAAAGTAAAAGATTGCACATGATCAAAATTAAAAACTTAGGCTCTACTAAAGACAATGTTATGAGAATTAAAAAAAAAGTTATAGGCTAGGAGAAAATAATTGCAACTCGCATGTCCACTGAAAGATTTGTATCTAGAACATATCAAAATTTCAAAGCTCAGAAAACATCTAGCCAGCCTAGTTTAAAAATGGATAAAACACTTAGATATTTTATCAAAGGGAGCATATGGAAGGCATAAAAGCACATAAAAAGTTGCTTGGTATCGTAAGTTATCAAGGAAAAGCAAGTTAAATTCATAACGAGATACAACTCCTTAGCAGCATGGCTAAAATAATTGATACTGACAGTGCTAAGTACCAGCAAGGATGCAGAACAGCTGACACACTTACATGTTACTGGTAGGAATAAAAGTGGTCCAACTACTCTGGAAGATAATTTAATCATTTCTTAGAAACATACATTTACTCCAGGACCCAGCAATTCTACACCTGGGCATTTACCCTAGAGAAATGAAAACTTACACTTACAGAAGATCTGCGCCTGCATTCATAGCAGTTCTATTCATAATTATCCCAAACTGGAAACAACTCAAAGCCCTTCAGTAGGTGAACGGATGGGTAAACTACGGCATGCTACTCAGTATAAAAAGGAATCAACGTTGTGTAGGACACACACAACCAGATTGAATGGATCTCAGAGGCATTATGCTGAGGGAAAGCAATTCATCTTAAAAGATTCCATTTTTTACAGAACAGATGAAGGATTAGAGATTAGGGAGTTAAGGGGAGTGGAGGGTGTGACTGTAAAGAGATAGCACCAGTGAATTGTGTGGGGGGATGGAACTCTGGCCTATGGCAGTAGCTGTATGAACCTATACATGTGTCAGTATTCATACAACTGTACATCAAAAGCCCATTTACCTATATGATAATCTAAAAACCGTTTTTCATTACATAGAGTGAAGTTGTGTCTTCTGGCTGCTTTGACGTGCAACAGACCTGGTCTGTAGCCACTGGCCATGTGTTCTGGGGCTCATCCAAATGCACACTGGATCGTGAAGTTGAAGACTGAATATGAAAATAAGAATGTGAACTCTCTCATTCATAGTGTTTATGTTGATTACACTCTTTGGGACATATTGGGTTAAATAAGACATTATTGAAGTTAATTTTGCCCCTTTTTACTTCTGAACATGTGGTTCCCAAAAAGCTGTAATTGTAATATGTGGCTTGTGTTATACTTTTATTAGCCAGAGCTGTTCCAGGTGGCACAATCAGGAAGGACTGAGGTGTTTTGGAATTTTCTCTCTGAAGCAGTCAGAGAGGATTGTCCTACTTAAGGGTTGAGCAAAACCCACCAGGTCTGCACTTGGAGGCTGCTCACTTTCTCCCAGTCTGCCTGAGAGGTTAATGCCTCGCTGCATCTGTTTTATAACTTGTCTGGTTGGCTTTCCTAACTTTGGGGAAAGAGAAAAGGATGGAAAGATGGAGCAAAGAGGATCTCATTAGGTGGTGAGATGAGGGATTAGACATGTAAGCACATCAGGTTTTGCTCTTAGATTTGAGTTCGAATTTCATTTTAGCCACTGGTTTGCTGTTCAGCTCTGGGTCTTTCTCAACCCCAGGTTTCTCATGTGCCAAGAGAAATGAGTTCCTCCAGGGGTTTCCTTACCTGTTTGTTCTGTGCCAGAAAACAGGGAGAGTGCATTGGGAGCACCCAGTAGGCCTCAGGGAATGACATGTTTTGCTATTGCTGTTACTGCTGTGTGTGGTGTTTGCTCTTCAACCCTGGGCTCCTCTATTCTCTCTGTCTCTCTGTCTCTCTCTGTCTCTCTCTCTCTCTCCCTCCCTCCCTCTCACTCCACAGGCATTCTGCCCAACTTTTCTCCCTGATTCAGCTCTGAGAAATGCCAAGGCAAGCGTTCCCGTGAAGCTGCTTGTCAGCAAACACCCACTCGCGTCTCGCTCTTCTCCATGTGCCAGAGATGGGCCTGGATTCCACTCCAGGCCCTGGACCCTGCCAGCTCCTGAGCCTGACACACACAACTGCTGCACAGATACTTCAGGGCTGTGCTCCCAATCTGCGACATTAAAGATTAGAGGTTCCCTGACAATGCAACCATCCTAGAGAAAAAAGCCCTCTAACCATCTACAGGGTTGCAGGAATTTTCCTGGATTCAGCTTCAAAGATACAAAAGCCTGAGCTTCAAACATTTGGTTGGCTCATGGCCTGCCCTTTTTCACTTTCTCTCCTCTGCCTTTAGTTCCAATTGCGCTTTTATTAAATTATTCTTGTTGCTTGCCTCCTGTCGGTATCAAATATTAGGATGGTGGCAGGAGAATGAATGCTTTTCCAGCCTTAACAGCACCATAGATTTTCATCAAAGGAACTTATTAAGTGCCTGTCTGGGCACGGCACTGTATGAGGCTCTGCAGAAAGGAAGTTAAACAGACATGAGTGGCCTCTTGGGGTTTGTACACAATGGTGGCCACGGTTACTCCCTGGTAGGGTTATCTTGATCACCAATAGATCTTTGAGAGCAGCAAGGTCCTGTCAGATCCCAAGTTCAGAGGGCTGTGGTTTAAAGAACTCAGATGCAAGCCTGGGATAGGACCTCGTGCCATCAGAAGAGGTCCTCTTCAGGGGAGTGGCAGTGTGGCCTGGTGGTCAAGCACATACCTTTTGGAATTCAGCAGCTCTAAGTTTGCATCTGGGCTCTTCCACTTAGGATCCTCTTGGGTATCTTCTTGGGCCTCAGTTTCTCATCTGTTAACTAAGGTCACAATGCCAACCATACAGCTCATTGTGAGAAATGTAATGTCTTCTATTTTTTAATCTGTTCTTGTGTACCAGGTACCATGCAAAGTGCTCTGCAGGGGTTTATGAATTTAATCCTCATAATAATTCCATGAAGCAGAAATTGCTCTTATCCTCATTTTACAGATAAGGGAACTGAGGCTTAGAGATGATGAGTAATATGTCCAAGGTGTAGAAGAGGGGACTTAAATCCCAGCAATCTATCCCTGGAGGTAGGGGCACACACAGAGCTGAGAGTCCTCCTCTGGGAAGCGGGCAGGGGAAGGGGCACACAGGAAGTGTGTGTGAGCCAAGACTTCAGCTCTGGAGCATGTGCCACTGTCCCATCGGACTTCACTTACAAGACATAAATTCCAGGATAAAATTAGAGAATTTCAATATGGTGGCTGCAGAGCATTAAACCCAAGTGTGGGCTTTTTAAGTGCAGGGTCCCATGGGACTGCATGGGTGGAATGCCCAGGAAGGTGACAATATTTGGATACTTTTTGAGACAAACACTTTTTCCAAGTGAGAAGTTGATGCTCATTTGTGTGTGTGTGTGTCTTTCTGTATACATTCATGTGTCACTTAACCATGGAAGGAACTTCTGAGAAATGTGTCATCAGAAAATTTCATTGTTGTGTGAACATCCTAATATTTACACAAATCTAATTGATGTAGGCTACCACACACCTAGACATATGGCATCTGCCAACCTGGATAGCATGTTAGTGTACTGAATACTGTTGGTAATTGTCGACGGTGGTATTCGTGTATCCAAACATATCAAAACATAGAAAAAGGACACTTAAAATGCTGGGATTTTTTCATCTTGTTCTAATCTTATGGGACTACTCTCATATATGTCTGTCATTTACAGAAACACTGTTCATTATGTGATACATGACTCTGCTGAGTTTCTTAAATTAGGAATGACCTCATTGGCATGGGTGTGCATTTGAAAACACCTGGCACCAGCTCAGTCAGTGTGATTTGGGAAAAATGAGTGTCAGAATGGTCTACTTCACAGTCTCTGCTGTCCCTTCAGTGGCCACACTAATTGGACCTGAGCTTACAGGACTCATCCAGGTCCAATCTGAAGAGGGTCTAGTTTGTAACTTCCTTGGGACATAGAATAATGCTGAGGCTAAGGGCTTTCCTTCCAAGGAGTTCAAATACTTGTGTTGATCGACCAAACCCCCTGACTTTACTGCTGCCTACCCATTTGACATTAGAAAAATTACTTAATGCTTTCTGATTGGTTTTACTGTCTTTAAAATAGGCATATAGTAATATAGCCCATGATTAAGAATTGTAAGTTACAATGGCATAGAAAAAACCACCCAGCCCAGTGCCTGGTATAAAGTGCCCCCTATTAGATAGTGACCAAAGCTGTTGTCCTCAAGTTTAAGAATAGCAACAGAACTCAAGTGTTGGTGTGTGGGCAACTAATGATCAAATTAAAATGGTGCCAGGTATGTTATAAATAAATAAATTCTGATAACTCCTCCAGTAGTCTATCATCTAATATTAATGCTTAGAATTTGTTGACCATTTTATAGTTCACAAAATCCTTTCTTACACATAATTCCAGTTGAGCTCCCCAGTAGTCCTGCAGAATAGGGGGAATAGGGAATTTGTGATTCTGTTTCACAGATGGGAACCCAGAGACTCAGAGGTCAATAACTACTCATTTACTCAACAGACATTTAGTGGGCACTAACTATGTGTAAGGTTCTATGTGATGTTTTGGGATAAAAGTTTCCTTTTGAAGAAACCATCATGGGTCCGGGTAGCTGGGGTGGACCCAAAGAAGGAGTTTGGACTTAAGACACTGTATCTGTCAGGATAGATTAGGTGATGGAAAGAACAAACAGTTGCAGTGCCTTAAAAGATTTCTTTCTCATTCACGCTCTTGGTCCATTGTGCACCAGCCACTGGCCCTGCTTTTCCTCATTTTCACTCAGACCTGATGGATGGAACAGCACCGGTTGGAACATTGTGATTGCTGTGGTAGGAACAGAGATCTGAGATTGGGAGGACCTCCCTCACACCAGCAATCAAATTCTCTACCCATAGACCAGACTCTTCATATAACCCCACCCAACCACAGAGGGAAGGAGAGGAAGCACAATTCTATGATGTGCCTAGACGACAAGGAGCTGGAAATACTTATTGGGGAATAGATTTATGACTCCTCCAGCTGGGGAGGCTCTGAAGGACAGAAAGGAAACAGTGAATGTTGCTGGAGTGGGGTGGAGGTGGGGCCATGGAAGAGAGAAGAATAAAGTGGACTTTTAAAGGGATGGAGTGGGAGAGTGGGAAAAGATGAGAGAGGCAGGAGACAGAAATGTGCAAGACACTATGACAGCGAAGAGGACAAGGGTAGTGAGTGTGCCAGTCTGGCCGGAAGACTTTGATTCGGTAGTTAAATACTGACTTGGCTTCTCTTCTGTATTAAGTGATAGAAATGCAAAGAAGAATAAAGCATGGTACTTGCCTTTGAACAACTTACAGTCTAGCAGGAGAGCTAGACTTTGCACCATGAACAAAGGGAATCAAGCTATCTAAATATAAGAAAGAGTACCCAATACTTACTATTCCAAAGCCTGTATGTATCTTAATTCATTTAATCATCATCATTGCTCCACAAGGTAGGTGCTGTTATTAATCCCATTTTACAGCTGACAACACTGAGGGATGGGAACTAGTGTACAGCAGAGGTGGGCTTCAGAGCCAGTGTCTGGGTTTCTACTAATCATAAAAACTTCACTGTACTGCTTTTTGCTTGGTAACTTGTGAGTTGGGGCTGTGTCTGTAATCTTGGAAGGCAAGTAGTGTTGCCTTTAGATCCAGAATGATAGATTGGTATTGGCTTCTTGGAGCTCCATAGTGTGGATGGTTTCCAAGACCAAGCTGGGACGTGGGGAGAAAAGAATGATGTGATTAATTAGTAATGCTTTCCATGTCAAGAGAAGTGGTATTGTCAGCAAAATATATTTGGTAACCCTGATCTATGCAATGCCTAAGGCATAGTGGATTTAATCAGTTTATTATAAAAGAAAGAAAGTCGAAACCAGACAACTAACTTATTGGCTATTTTCCTCACTTTTCAATCTACTTTAAGGCTATATCATGTTTATAGAGGCATACGTACTCCTTGTTCTAACAGTTAGCTTTCCTTTCTGGAGACTAATGTCTAAAATATTACAACTGTACTCCCTTAGGCAAACATGCATATTAATTGTCAAAACAATAAAAATATCAGCCATGACAAATGTTCAATCCATCACATCCCTGGTGCTGTAATCAGGTGGGTATGTAGAGAGAAGTTGGGGATGGTATGGCAATAATAATGATAATAATAAAAGGGAGTTTTAATATTCAATTGCTGTACAAGGGAGAGTACAAATGGCTTGGGGAATTCAGCCATAAGAAAATCCAGCTGTAGCATGCATCATTTGTGGAATTTCCTGTCCAGAAATGTTGAGAGCCTTTCCTCTGCACAGGAAGTTCTAGGACAATGTTTCTTGTTTTGTGTTTCCTTATCCTCAACCTCTCTTCCTGGCTTTTCTTCTGTGTACCATTTTCCCTGTGCTCAGACTTTTATTTTTTTTATATTCTTTCCCAGACATTGCTGGCAATGGGTCCTAATTTCATGCTATATAAGGAGGTAGAGATTCAACTAGGGTCTTAGAGCCTGGATGATAAATCAGTTTCCTGTCTTGGGTCAGATGGGGTCAATGGTTTGTGGTTACTGAAATGCAGAGGTGAGAAGGTCTGGACTCAGCCTGAGAGTGTTGGGATTGATTAGTGATGTCTGTCCTGGATGTGGGTAAGGGAACACAGGCTTCTGACTCTGCCCGTATGGAAAGTCTGTACTGCTTTCAAATCTTTTGCTTCAGTGACTGGTTCCAGATTTTTCCCCAGGGAGAAACTAGTTTCAGAACTTCTCTTTATGTGAATCTTGGATATGACACTTATCTTTTCTCAGTCTTACAAAACTTGAATGAAAATAATTCTCACAGAGTGTAGGCATGGTATATAGTTATTGAATCACTCATCCACTAGTTATTTGGTGAGCATGCACTATGTGCTAGGCACAGAGCGAGGTGTGGGGGATACAACGATGGGGTAACACGATGTGCTCTCTAGTCACACATATCGTATAGTCTAGTGGTGTGTTAGTTTTCTGTTGGTGCATAATAAATTAGGACAAACTTAGAGGCTTTGAAGAACATAGTTTTGTCTCCCATGTTCTGTGGGTCAGGAGTCTGGGCTTGGCTAGGCTGGCTCCTATGCTCAGGGTCTGAGAAGGTTGAAGACAGGGTAAGTAATGAGTTGTGTTCTCAACTAGAAACCTGCTGGGGAAAAAATCTGCTTTCAGCTTCATTTAGCTTATTGGCAGAATTCACTTTCTTACTATGGTAAGACTGTTGCCTAGGTTTTGACTGGCTGTTATCTGGGCTCCACTCTTAGGTCCTAGACATCAACCATGGCAGCTGGAGGCCTCATTCAGTCTCTTGCCATGTGGGCTTCTTCAACATGACCACTGCAGTCTGTCAAGAGATAATAATGCTGATATTAAGGGTGAATTCCATCACCTTGTTGATTAGAAGCAAGTCATAGGTCTTGCCTACATTCAAAGAGAGGTGCTATGCCAGGTCATGAGGAGGTGAGAATCATTGGGGGGTCACCTTACGGTCTTCACTGTAGGGGAAGACACACATGTAAGCACAGTAATGTATCTCCTTGCTATATTAAGGGAGAAGCAGGGGTAAGGAAATGTATGTCAGTGCACTTGGACATTCTCAGGGATGTCAAGGGATACTTCCTAGAGGAAGGGATTTCCAAGTGAAGACCCAAAGGATAAGCAGGATTATCCACAACTTTAGCTACTATCCAGATCTTGTTCTTTTCATTGCCACAGGCCACTTAGAATGGAAACAACTCTTTAGATAAGACCTTCCATCCCTAACACAGTGGGGGCTCTTTCTACACTTGCTGTGAAACTCTCCTATTCATGCAGTCCCCCTTAAAGTCAGCTCCTGGTCTCAGAGTTGAGGGTGGCAATAAGGACTAAGCCTGAAAGGGTGATGGTGGGTTGGGAATGGGATCCTAGGGATGCCTCTGTCCACTCACTTCCTATTCATGTCCTTGTAGGAGGGAGGGAAGCTGATGGTGTTTCTAGAACAGATTGGGGAAATCCCTGTCTGCTAGAGATGAGGCCTGTGGTTGAATCATAGGAACAGAAAGTGGCTAATACAGGAGGATTGGTTAATAAGGTACCATAAATCTATAACTGTGGTTTTTAAGCCGACCTACACATTCAGTCACTTGGTACATTAAGGTTCATTAAAATGGCTGCAAGTTCTCCTGTTGACATGTGGAATCTCATTCC